TACAGTTGAACTGCACACACTGAAGCCTGTCATTGAGTTATTATTCTGTTTTCCAGCCCTATTAGGTTGTATCAGTCCTTGCCTTGTGGTCAAAAGCTGTTTGGCTCGATCTGATCTAGAGCAACACAGACATCTTTTAGCAAAACAGAACATTGTTGCAAAGTGCTTGCCTGCTCTGTCAAAACATCTCATCTTGAAGACTCTTTCTCTCATAGCACAGGACTGGAAGATCTGGCAGATCTTGCACTAATCAGGCTTTCCAGGATTTCCAAGCCCTCCTATTGGGAAGGCATTCAGCTGCCTCTTGAGTTGTGAAGCTGGAAACCCCACAGTTTTTGTGGAGCTGCCAGCTGGGGCTGAACTTGGAGTTCCTGTCTCTTCCCTGCCTTGTAGGATGCCATTTCCATTGCCTCTAGAGGCAGTTTACCAATCTAATAAGTCTCCCTGTCCTGTACTATGCAGTTATTCTCTCAACAGTCTTATTTCATAAATCATGATATAACTAGGACCAACTGCCAGTTAGGTACTGCATAGAAACAAAATTAGGATCTCTGTATTTCCTTCAATTTTCACATTTTCTGCATTTAGACTTTTGTGCTGAAACAAGTAACTTTTGCTAACCAGTATTTTTTTGTAACTGCTTACTGAACAAACAGTCAATATGTGCATTTAATATTTTGAAAGGAAAACATATTGATACTCATGCAAATCTAAATATGTATTTGAAAATCTCTAGCTTGTGCAGCAAGAATATTATTTCTGTTCTAACTTCCAATTTCATACATAAAAGTCTATTTGGTTGAGACTCTGGATGTTTGCCATCAAGTGGCATTGAATCTATGTGTAACTGCACTAATTATGGAAGAAAATGAATAAAATGCACAGATATAAATGTTTTGGTGCACATCAAATTCTGTCATATAGGCTTAGTCTAGTTTCTTTAAGCAGATCCTTGGTATACAAGGCCTGCAATAGCAATGTGCAATTTCCAATAGAAGTACCATGTTAACAGGTGGAACAATCTTTAGTAGCACTGTAATATGTCAAGACCTTCTTCCATTATGTTCACTGTAATGCTGAAAACAGGAATGTATTAGAAATGAATTGCTGTAAGTATAGTGGTCAATGCATTACCTCTCTAAGTTAATGTTCAGAACCTATTTTGCTAAAGTATTCTTACAGGAAATCATAATATATGTTTTCATTTTTTTGATCAGTGCTAAAATAAAGCTGTTCCACTTAAAAATGCTTGGAAATTCTCCTAATGGAAACACTATTTCCAGATTCATCACCCATGAGGAAGAATACCAGTTAGCTTCATGGTGAAGCCGTTTTACCCAAATTTAAGCTTATAAGGCTGCAAAACTCATGACAAAAATGTTTAAAGTCTATTTCAAAAAGACAGTGGATTGGTTAGGCTGCTTTTGGCTCTGGTTTCCAAGCAACCATTGAACAGCAGCCAGCACGGACCAATTAATTCATTGGGTACCTTACACTGAAACTAACTGTAAGGAGCAGTTAGTAAGATGCCATATTGTTATGATGACTCAACCACTCAAAAAACAGTGTGGAAAATCCTGAGATTCTGTAAAGATAGAGAATGAGGATCAAACCTGCATCAGAGACAGTAGTGACATAATCTACAAAATGGCTTGACCAGTTCACAGCATACTGCAGCTTTCTTCCAAGTCATGCACTTGAATTTTTTTCTCAAAGAGGCCAAGTTAAGGAGAAAAGAGATCTTTGAGTACCTCTGCACCTTGAAATGGCTGGTGATGGGTGGATGCCTGGGGTTATGAATTTAGCTGATTTCAGCTTCCTTCACTGTTAGCATCTTAAGGATTTACATTTTTCCTTCAGCTTATCCTCATTTCTCTATTCATTTCACTCCATTAAGGAATGAAATAGTTCTTGGTAGGCTTCCATATCCCCTGCTCTAGGTCCCAATAAGGTCAAGTTTCTGCTCTTCCTGGCGTGTAGCAATATACAGCTACGATCTACTTTCATCCACCTTTTCATTTGTCTTTAGGCCTGTCCTGTTTTTCAGTTAATTCACCAATTACTTTTCAGGCTCCTTGATTGTTTCATACATTTCTCTTAAGTCATCCTTCTGTATAAACTGTCTTTCTCTGTTTTGTGATGCTGTGGAAATTCTTGTCTATGCCATGAGAAAGTCTGAGGATTTGCTTTGCCTGAGGGTTGTGCACCTTTCCTCTTTCTATGCTAGACATTTGAGAGCTCCGAGGAACCGCTAAATTAATTTTTTTTAGACTTTTCAATATGCTATTTTTACCATCACAAGATTAATTGATTAATTTTCAAATTAGATTGAAGAGCTTTTGTGATAAGTAGGACTAATAATAAACTGTAATGATGATTAATATGTATCTACATACTGCTATCTGAATTTCAAAGAACCTTTTTTTACTAACAATGCTTATGCATTTTTATTTCCACAACATTTATTCTTTCTGATATATTTCTGTCCTGAACTTTTTTTTTTTTTCATTTTTGCCTCTGGCTTTTTTCCTCTCTTGTACAATGTGTATTTTCTCAAATGGATCTAGAACAGCATTTTTATTATACTGACAAGAACAGTAACACCTCTGTAGACTGTCCTACAGCAAAGGCATGACAGACTAAATGATCATAGATAAATAGCTTTCATGGTTTCTATGTATCCAGTCATTCAGTTCTTCTCTGTGAGAGGCAGGTGCCCTGGCAAACCACTGCCTCATGTGACATTTGAGACCTAAAACAGATACTGGAAGGATAGATGTGATTGTTATTTTGCCTGCCACAGTATAGGATTTGAACCCCAATCCCAAGAACATGACAAAATAGGCACTGTAAACCACAGAGGACTGATAGATAATCATTACCTGAATTTCAGTGAGTTATGCCTATTTGGCTGGTCTACACAGTTGAAATACTATTGGCAGTGATCACTTTTTTGGTCGAAGAATTTGGATACTATTTGTGACTTGTGGAAAGACTTTAAAATGGGGCACGGATGACCCAAACACTTAGTATTTCTGTTTTCTATGTATAAAATAGGAATAAATATTTTTTTACTCTGTACTTTTTTAGGTGTAATTTATACTGACAGTCTTTGGGACAGAAAGTTGAGTTTGCTACAGTTGTAAATATGTTCTCACAAAAAGTCATACTAGTTGATAATGGAGCGCTGCCTACTACTTCATAATCTAGCCTTCTTCTGCATCACTTTGCCTTCCTTTTATGCACATGATCATGGTCTCTGAGTATGAAAGATCTGAAATGGAGGAATATCTGACAATGTGTCAACTGCATATCCCGTTCTGTATTTACAAGTCACTATCTCATACTTGATAGAGCAGATTCTAGTGCACATGTTTATGTGCAGTGGCTCTGAGCACAAGGGGCTGCATGACAATGCATCACCATACAGCACTTACATGTGTTCACAGCTGTCCTTTTGAAGAGAATATGTGGTCTGCATCAAAGAGTAAAACAAAATATAAGCACACAGATGAAACAAAAACATGTAAGGGAAAGACCCAGTGTGTGTACAAATATTTATATATTGTTTTCTATATGTTTTCACTTTAATTAGTGTGTATTTTGGAAAAAGGATTGTCATAGGGGTTTTTGAGAGAAAATGTGTCCTGATCAACCCGATTTTCCTGAAATTAACCTGATTTTGATTGTTCATATTAGCTTGTTAAAATGCCTAAAACAGAGAAAGGAATTACATAAGGGATGAGTAGTGGATCTTAGGGGACAGATTCTTTAGCAGGGTCTGTGGTGACAGAACAGGGGAAATGGTTTCAAACTCTAAGAGGGGAGATTTAGGTTAGATATAAGGAAAAGGTATTTTACAATGAGGATGGTGAGGCACTGGAGCAGGTTGCCCAGAGGTGTGGTTGATGCCCCGTCCCTAGAGACTCTCAAGGTGAGGCTGTGTCAGGCCCTGGGTGATCTGATCTAGCTGTGATGTCCCTGTTCATTGCAGAGGAGTTGAATTACACTGTCTTCGGAGATCCCTTCCAACTCTAAGGATTCTATGATCTTACCTAATAAGCTAAGTGGTAATGCAGAAAATGAGGCATAATAACAAAGGCAGACATGAGGTTCTTGAGTTAGGAATTGGTAGCAACAGATTACTGAAAACACGACTAATGTCATGAGATTAACTTTTTTCCAAACTGCTACAAAATGATCCTGCAAGCAAATGTGTCTAATTAACTGAAATAAGTATCCAATCAGCACTACAATTTATGTTTTATTCTATGAAAACAGAAGATATTTCTATAGAAATATCCCACTGAAAATGAAAGAAGTCAAAGAAAGATTGGGACTTTCAGCACTAGACAGCTGTTCCCCGAGGGTTATTGTCAGGCCAACAGCATGCCAGTGCTGTACAAAATAGCCCACTGCCTAAGTGGAAGGAAATGCAAGTGACAAACTTGGTATTCAGCAGAGCTTGGTATTATGGAGGTCAGGGTCCTTGGGTGATGGGAGGAATAGACCTTGCCAGAAGTGCCAACTAGTAAGGGAATGTGTTAAATAAACATCAACGAAAAATGTGCTTACAGAGCAGCAAATGTTTTGCTTTTTTATTACTGAAATTAAGTGGGCAATAACTATCCAAAAATACTATTTAATCTCTTCAGAGCCATCTTTCTAGTTTTTAATGCCTAAAAGTATTTTGGAATATTTCTCAAATTTCAGAATTTCAAGCATTTTAGTAGAAATGGTGATTCTTATTTTAATAACTAGCTCATCATGTGGCACTCTGGAAGTTGTGTGAATTCTCTGTTTCCTGTCACTAAGATGTAGTGGCATTAAACAGCAAAATGTCACATTCCTCTAAAATATGGTTTTGATAAATCATATTGTCCGCTCAGAAATGCTTGCTGCTGAAATGTGCAACACAGAGTGTGTTTGCCTCTGTTATTAAAGAAGCTGTTGGCAGAGGACGTTTACTAAAACCATCAATTTCTTGCACCCTTTTCCAGGTGGGATCCCGTTTGTCCTCACAGGAGAGTTTTTCCAGCAGTCTCAGAGGCCGGCCGCATTCATGGTAGCTGGGACAGTCAACTGGCTCTCCAACTTTGCAGTCGGACTGCTCTTCCCTTTCATTCAGGTACTCAACATGCTTGATCCTTGTTGCGCTATAGTTGTTACACTGTTAGTAATTTTCTGGTAATAGTAAATGTCTTTTCATTGAAGTGAATGAAATTCCTACTATGCTTATGATGCATTTTAATTGTGCTACCCATATCTCATCCGAATGTCTCAGGAAAAATTGTCCTGTGAAAAAATTAATAGCAGTGTAGCAGTGAACAACCCTAAATGGCAAATTACCAACAGGAGTGCTATAGCAGTGCAATCTGATGTGATGGCTGTGTCCATAAGTCACACCGTTCTTGTCATCTGCAGCCATAATGACATCCATCTTCAGGTTTATCCTATGCTTTGAGAATTCTTATTTGGTGAATAAAGAGTCTAACTGGTGAATAAATACAAAGTAGGTATTACTCCTGTATGTGACTTCTTAAAACTGAAAATTATATGATGCATTGTTATATGCAGTACTGTGCACCAGTATTTGCACATACTGTAAAATTATATCTTACTCTAAGCCTGTATAAGTTAACTATCATTTGAGAGTGAAACTGCTTTAATTAAGTAGTTCTGTTGGAAATTATCTGTCTGAAAGAATTTATGGGAGAACTTGAAAGAATTATAAAATCTGACCCTTGATCTACATTTGACACAATTTAAAATTTCTTGTAAAAGGAAAATGGCTTTAATCATTTTGATGACTTGGATCACCTTCAAAAGTTAACATGAGTATAAATGCTGTCATCCTTCCAAACTGTGCTACTGTTAACATTAACTTCAATTCCACTGCTCTGAGCTGTAAGTGTTAAGGTTTGTTTTAACGCCTAGTGAAATCTGTGAGTGTTCCCCACTATTTTTTTTAGCTTAGACAAAGGACTTGCTGGTTCAGACTTTTCAGGTGTGATATTCAAAAGCAGGTAGAGTTGTCATTAATTTCCCACTGCGGTCATTGGAACATCTACCAAGTTCAGCAGAGAAACAATTAGACAAATCCAATGTGTTTTTGAAAACTTCACCTTAGTCATCAGCATCAGCATGAATTTACTCAGCTCAGGATTCTCCCTGTAATGTAACCTTTTTGTTCTGCTAACCCCCTCAATAGGTCTCCTATTTAAAAAGGTCCTATTTAAAAAGTAAATACAAATATAAAAGCAAACTGCATTTTCTATTTCTTTCACATGCACATTAATGCTTTGTGAGTGTTTTAGTGTGCATCCATATGAAGTTTGCTATTGCCTTGAGAAATCTATGATTTTGCATCGTAAAAAAATCCCTTTATGTGTTTACAGTATTACCAGTTTAGTTTTAATGAAGAAAATTATGTTTCCATATTACAGAGATTTTGGCTTTTAAAAAGTAATTTTAAAAAAGCACCTAAAGATGTTCACATCTTTACATATCTGTGTTCCTGGCTTTCCATGATTTTATTGACGTTGAAGCCTTCTTAAGAGGAAGTGTCTCATTAATTCTACACAGCAAGTAGCTCAGAAGGCTCTCTTCAACTTTTTTTTTTTTTCTTTTTGCTGTTTTACATCAGTAGCTGCTGCTGCAGTTTATGGTGGCAGAATCCCAAATCCAAAGCAGTGAGCTGGCAGCAGCAATTGCTCCTTCTCTGCAAATAATGAGGGAATCGTAGGAATAACATAATGATGCTTTGAGTTGCATAATCTTGAAAAATGGAAAGAATTAGAAGAGAAAACAGGAAACATGTCGATTATGTGAAAGAAAGCAAACTAAAATGATTCCAGCTGGAAAAAAATGTGAGATAGGAAAGGCTGACTGTGAATGACAGAAGACGGAGAAAAGATTGGTTATTTTCTTTATGTCAAAAGGATCAGAAGGTGTTAAACTTCTCTGACTTATCAGAGGAAACCCTATGAATTTCATAACAACTTGAAAATTTGAGGGATCTCTAACCTGAAGGCCTTCAAGGTTATATTAGTCATCCTTCTGCAAGCTTATTGCTGCTTAATATATTCTCTCTTTTATGGATAATAAAAGGAAACAGATCATTTTCCCTGTGGCAGTAGTGATTCATTGCAAAAACAAAAACAAAAACCACCAACAAACCTGACCAGAGGAACTCGTGCGTTCTTTTTTGTCTTAAACTACCAGCATTCAAACTGACTGATTGACTTTTGCATCTCTAATTGCACTGGTGTGTGTTTTGTGTTTGCAATTCTGAATTATCACTGAAGGTTTGATTTAGCTTTCAAATTTATCAGTTAGTTATACAGTGATAAATATAAAATTGCATCTATTTCTGTATTAAATTTAACTGGTTTCACCCTCCACCTATCAGATGCTTTGTTGCAAATTGTTTAATCTTCTGCTGAACAGAAGAGAGTGAAGGTTTTGATAGGTATTTATCTGTTGACTGAAAAGCACAAGTGAATGTATTTCAGGTGTTGTCATTTCTGTAAATTATTCACGAGCCATAAGGAGCTCATCCTTCTGTGTGATATTTATTCCAGTCCTTGAGTTAATGAAGAACTTCTTAAACAGAGGAGTGATGGATAGCTAAATAATGTAATACAAACATGCTTGCCCATGAGCCTCCTGCTCTCTTTCTCATAGGCACATCTATAAACAGAAACTATTTCCCAGACTCTCAAATGAATAAAACCCAAATCTTGTACACACACAAGTAGATACAGGCACACACCTATTAATGACACCAAACTCAAAGTTATTACTTGTGGGCATTTTTTGGCATCACCTCTCTGCAGTTCTATTTTACGCTGCTGGATAGAAAATCTGAGACCTTTCCTGACTTCTCTGGAGACTTTTGTTCAGGAATATGTTGTAAAGAGTGAGTGATAGCTGGTAGGAATAGCTATGGTAAGGAGGTCTGGATAGTGAAGGGCAGGGCAACATAGTAAATAAGAAATATGAGTGCTTATGTGGGTGGAAATAGATGTGATGAGCTGAAGCTAGCAGATGGGACAACAAACTACAGCAGAAGAAAAATGCTTGAAAAGCTCTGGGAGTGTTCAGCAAGCGTTCAGCTGTTACTCTTCAGAAAGGATTGCAGTAGCAGCCTTCTGTACCAAGATAGGTCAGCAGGACATTAAATCACATGTTATCTAGGGAGAGGTTGTTTTTCTAAAGCACTGTAAAAATACAAAGAGTTACTAAAAATTAGCAGTTAATTTCAGGACATGACAACTGACTATGCTCTTTTCATAATATTCGGATGCATTTTTATTTCATTTTTCTGTTTCTTCTCTTAGAATGTTATGGGGCATTTAAAGACTACATGGTAAAGCAATATCCTGCTGCAGAAGTTTTCTGTCATAATAATTTCCCATTCTAGAAGAAAGACTGCAGAGTCTCTTTTTTAAGGCCATGGTGTATATGGAGTGCATATTGAAAAATACTCATTAAAATATCTCTGTGTATTTTATTGAAATTGGAGTTTTTCAATGGATATACTAATTTACACTGTAGAATACACTTTCCTTTCCTAGTAACACAGTGGAAACAGACGTAAGCCAGAGAGGAATGAAAGAAAACAGTCGTTTTTATCTGCAATGAATGTACTTGAAATTTCCTACTTGATTCTGTTAATATGCCATGCTAACTGCTTAAAGGACTAAAGATAAGGAGATGGGGGAAGAGGAGTTACCAGGGATCACAGAGGAGTATTCAGATGTGCTTACAGGTCCACTATGTGCAAAGCTGATTGCTCCTCCGTTGTGTTTGGCTTTTGCCTGTGGTACTGTGGGGCTTGTGCCTACAGCAAGGAAAGTTAGAGTTTGAAATCTTTAGAAATGCTGGAGAAGCAACTGATGGAGGTCTTCAAATCTCTTCACATGGTTGTACTAGGAAATACTGTAGATCCCTGTCTAAATGACAAAGAAGAACTTTGCTGCTGCTGCAGCTGCCTAGAAAAAAGAAAGAGAACTTGATTGGGATTTACCATCTTTCCATCTTTTCCATCCTTCCAGGTCTATGTACAGTCCTTGAGGACTGCAGTGATTTTTTCCCTTTTACTTCTGCCCCAAGATAAGCTTGCATTATCTCAAAATAGATAACGTTTCTCATTCTCTTGCAGTATTTTTGCAGCAAGTCTGTGGCAAAACTTCTACAAGCTGCATGGTGTTCTGCAGCCATGAGCAACAGCACAGAATATCTCATTTTTGCAGGGATTAATAAATATCAGTGTGCAGTTTGAGTGTTTTGTCTGGTTATAAAAAGCATTGTTTTTACAAAGTCATAATATTTGTATTTATCTACCATTATGTACTTTCTTGTGCTGTTTCTTTGTAACTGTAGATTGAGGCATATTGATAAGCAAATATATATGGCATTGTAAATCCGAGAGATGAACACTAAGACCTTATCAAAGGTTTGCATATAAGTCTTAAGTTATAGTTGAGTTGAGGTTGGAGAAATAAACAACTGTCAGATATTGTCAGAAACAACCTCTGCAGCTCCTTTCTGGCTCATTGGCAATGGAATGGGCTGTGCTTTTTTACTGTGGATAAGTCACTAGGTGTGGGGCAGGCTTCAATAATAAATGAGAAACTGATCATCTTGTGTAGGGAGGTCAGGACTGGTGCTCCAGATGCTGACACTAAAAGGCAGAGGCAACTATTGAGGTGACAGGAGAGTAAAGCAAATAGCTGTGTGAAAGGTCATATTCCTGAAATAGTGAATGTTTTTACTAGCTGGCTTTTTAAGCATGGGTCTCAAAGACAGTTCTGTTTAAATTTTCATATGTATTCTTCATATGTAAGCTTTTAACTTATTATATTAGAAAAGAGAGATCTGAAAGAGGCAAAGTACAAATTATCACTAGCTTGAGACTGAGTAAACTTCATCTTTATTTTATTTTTGCATTGAATACAGTGTCTTGAAAAAATATCATGGTTTGATCCATGATCCAGATGGGGCACAGTGTAATATGGAGTAATGCTGTCACACAGCTTGTTCAAATTGCTTACTGCTGTGATACAAAGACCCATGACTGTGTTTATTTTCCCCCTTTCAGAAGCTAATTTATTTCCCTTAGTG